TTTGTTCAAGATCCAATCATACGTAATTTGTATCTCACAATTACAACTCCTTGTGATTAACAAATCACTTAAACTTGAATTTTCGGACTCTATTATTTAATATTATTTATCACAAAATTAATTTAAATAAATAATAGATCTTGCCAAAATTAAATGCATTAAACATATTAAAAGTGTTTACAACCTAAATCGATTGGATTTAGGGCATAACACTTACACTCCTCACCACTACTTCACTTCTCACCATACTGTCAATCAATTCCGCTAGTTTTTTCCTCTTGCACAGTGTTTTTTCTTTTCAAGTTTTCAAGAAGATTCTTTTGAATTAGTTACTCCATCTGATGGCTGATCAATGTCATCAGAGTATTTCAAGGATCTTGTCGGACGCAAGCCCGGACATCTTGTAAAAAAAAAAAAAAAAAAAAAATGTCATCAGAGTATTTCTACTCAAAAAGGCCATGTACACAACGTCATCTAGGAACTGGTAAGGACATTTCATGGACTTTTGGTTTGGGAGTTCACGAGTTTGCTACTGTAAATAATCGGAACATGTGATTTTGAAAGGCTTGTACGTAGTAGTTGCATTTGCCTTTTGCAGAACTCTGAAGTTTTTTATTTATTTGATAAGTTTTGTAATGAATTTCTGTGAGATATATGAACTTCAACGGGGCAATCCCGCACATGTAAAAGAGTTAAATGAGTATTTGGCCAGCAATATTTCTCATGGTTTTTAGATACGTTTCATGATTTTCGAACTTTTATATTAATATGTAAGTTACAGCTCGTACCTTGGTGATATTAATATGCATGAATATTAGAGGACGAAAATCATTACATCCATTGCCAAAAATTCCAATACTTGTCTCATTATCAAATTGTCAAAATCACAATTCTTGACAAGACTGAGACAACTCAAACAAGAAAATTGATGCACCGTCCAAGTTGACCAATACAAAGAGGAATTTTTTTTATTTTTAAATGACTAGTGGAATTATGGTTAATGTTAAAAATAAGCATATGCAGATTTGATTAATGTTATTTTTAAATGTATTGCACACTTTGTAAGATATACTCATTTATAAAACTTTATTTATTTTTTAACAGCAATAGAATAACATCAAACGAGTCTAAATTTCCCAGCTTGTTTTGAACAAGTCATTCTTCGAACATATTAACCAAAGCAACCATTGCACCAAAAATGTTCTAATATTGAAACAGCAAAAATTCTATTATCTTGAAGTTGCACAAAAACTTCTTATCATTTGTCCTCACTGTGTAAATCGTCTCCCTTGTTACACTTTTGACATTTGAGTCCGCATATCAACCTTTCATTGTGCAAAATATTTTTGTCGTCTAATTTTGTCCATTTTGCTTCGCCAAATGGATTTGTACACTCCATTCAGGTGTCTTTGTAAGGGTATTTTGATTATGACATTAAATTGGAGGACGTGTTTGTCTTCAAAGAGAAGTTAATACAAGATCGATCTTATCATCAAGAAAATTAAAGGTGAAGAAAAATTCATGATTTCTTTTTCTTATAGTTAATGAAGAATCATATGTTAGCCATTATGCATTGCTATAATCCGGAATACATCTATAAGTAAGTTCAAGATGTCGAATATTAATGATTCTTCATCATAATTTTTGGCTTTTTGATGAGGGTTCTTTGTAAGGCAGGCTAAGGTTTTCTAACAAGCTTTTGCTTACGGAAATGTGGCTGGATTTCTATAAATGTACAAAGTCTAGATGGAAGACCTACAAAATAAAATAATGTCTAATATGGCAGACTACAAAAATCAATTCTTTGATTTTCACATGTAGAAAAATATAAGGGTAAATATCACAAAACGTCCCTATCATTCAGGTGTCTTTGTAAGGGTATTTTGATTATGACATTAAATTGGAGGACGTGTTTGTCTTCAAAGAGAAGTTAATACAAGAACGATCTTATCATCAAGAAAATTAAAGGTGAAGAAAAATTCATGATTTCTTTTTCTTATAGTTAATGAAGAATCATATGTTAGCCACTATGCATTGCTATAATCCGGAATACATCTATAAGTAAGTTCAAGATGTCGAATATTAATGATTCTTCATCATAATTTTTGGCTTTTTGATGAGGGTTCTTTGTAAGGCAGGCTAAGGTTTTCTAACAAGCTTTTGCTTACGGAAATGTGGCTGGATTTCTATAAATGTACAAAAGTCTAGATGGAAGACCTACAAAATAAAATAATGTCTAATATGGCAGACTACAAAAATCAATTCTTTGATTTTCACATGTAGAAAAATATAAGGGTAAATATCACAAAACGTCCCTACCTTTCAGTATCATTGTATAAAACATCCATACCTTTCATTTTTGGACACTTTCGTCCCTATTTCCACCTTTTATTTGATAGAATGTCATTTTCATCTATTTTTGACTATTTTACCCTCCTATTCAAATAAAAAATAACGAAATGAAAAATAAAGAACTAATCGTAACTATAATCCCAAATTTTCAAAAAATTACAAATCAGTCATTATATATGATTGCAATTAGTTCTTTATATTTCCTTTCCTCTTCATTTTGTTTTATTTGAATAGGAGGTTAAAATCGTCAACAAATAGATAAAAATGACCTTCTGCACAATGAAATGTGGAAGTATGAGCGAAAATGTCAAAAAATGAAATGTATGTTCATTTTTCACAATAACATTGAAAGATATACGTTTTTTGTTATTTACCCAAAAATACAAAAAGACAGAGAAAAAATTATGGACAATTAAGATTTTTCACTATATAAAAAATATTTATAATCATATGGAACATTGGCCTTTTCAATTGTTAAAGGATTTTCATACAAAAGGATTCGCAATTTATTTATTTTTTAATTGAGGTCACATCTAAGGCAAAATCTCAATACACATGTCGGATGCATTTGGCGTACTGAATTAGAGTTTATAAAAAGGATAGTATAACATTAGAATGAACATTATTAGGTAGATATTATGAAAGTTTATTGCTAATTTTTAAGAGTGCTCTTATGTATGTGGTGTCTATCCATGCAGTTTATTTTGCCCAATAAGGAATCATTCTGTATTATAACTGTGACTTTGGGGGTGAGATAAATGCTTTCTCTATGTTAATATTGATTTGAACATTGTAAGCTTCTGTTATAAACTTTATGTGAATGGTAGATGGCAAAGTAAAGATTGGGAATATGTTTTACCAATTTTTTTTTTTTTTTTTTATTTTTCCCCATTTTTTTTTTTATAATTTCTGTTTCTTCTTTCGGTGTTTCTTTCGGTGTTTGTCACTATTTTTTATTTTTATCACCTTTTCAAGTTTGTCACTTTATTTGAATTTTCATCACTTTTTTTTTTTTTTTTTAATTCTTTCCAGTCGCATTTTTTATTTTTTGTTACTTTTTTGGGTTTCTGTCATTTTTTAAGCGACAAACAATAAAGAAAGTGATACTCAACTTTAGAAAGTGATGACTAGTATTTAGTAGGCAAATTGTGTGTAACTTTCTAATAAATCATTTTTTGAATTTTGTCATTTTTTTGAACGTTTGTCACTTTTTTGAATTTCTGTCACTTTTTTATTGTTTGTTACTTTCTTTATTTATTTTTATTATTTTTTTATTTTTACAACATTTTTGAATTACAAACATCAATTTTTAATAGAAGTATGTCACTCTTCAATAAAAATTGACACTTAACTTTACAAAGTATTTTTTACATAAAAAGTATTTTTTATATGATTTTTCACAGACATCTAACTTTAGAGGTATTTTTATAAGTTGCACATTAAAATATTGAGCAAATAAAGCTACTTGAACTTGGCCAATGATAAACCTCTTCTATTTTACATGTTATCAGTAAGAACTCTCTGACTCTCTGTCATTTAATGGCAATCCATTAGCAAGACTGTCATCATTTTTCATATCCTTGTTTTGTACGATGATAGATCAATGACTTACCATTGGAATGTCCAGTACAAGAACTGCCCAACTTATCGAAGTGGAGGAATTACGGTCCCAGCGCATATAGACATTATCAGTGTTGGAGGTTGTTCTTTGAAGGACATGTAGACGTGGAAAAATGACCACTTCACTGTGTTCCAATTTTTATAAAGGTGAGATACTTTAAGAGATGTTACACTACGATAATTTTTTGGTAATTTGACTAATTAATTCACTAAGGGAGCTAGCATGAGACTAAATATTCTCTAAAGTCAGAAAGAGAAATATAGGAAAGAAAGCAAAGAATATAAATTCAAATGACAATTTGAATAAAGAAAGCAAAGAATATAAATCGAGATAACCATTTGAGAAAAGAAAGCAAAGAACGAAAATGCGAATAATTATTTGAGAAAAGCAAGCAAAGAATATAAATCGAGATAACCATTTGAGAAAAGAAAGCAAAGAACGAAAATGTGAATAATTATTTGAGAAAAGCAAGCAAAGAATATAAATTGAACAGTCATATTCTCCAAAGTTCGAGAGAAAAAAAAGAAAAGAAAGCAAAGAATATAAATTGAACAGTAATATTCTCCATAGTTAGAGAGAAAAAGAGAAGAAAGCAAAGAAGAGGAAAAGAGAAGAAAGCAAAGAATATAAATTGAGATAACCAAAAGAAAACAGAATAGAAATTCGGACAATTATTTCTCCAAAGTTAGTGCTAAAGAGAAAAGAAAGCAAAGAATATAAATTGAGATGACCATTTGAGAAAAGAAAGCAAAGAGGACAACTTTGGATAACCAATTTAGAAAAGAAAGGAAAGAATGGGAATTGGAATAACCATTTGAGAAAAGAAAGCAAAGAATATAAATTGAGATGACCATTTGAGAAAAGAAAGCAAAGAGGACAACTTTGGATAACCAATTTAGAAAAGAAAGGAAAGAATGGGAATTGGAATAACCATTTGAGAAAGGAAAGCAAAGAATCGAAATTGGGATAAATAGTCAAACAATTACAAACTGCATTCTGCATATCTATCTTTTCTCTCTCTCCAAAATCAATCAATCAATCACACACAACAAGATTCCAAAGCAAGACAATGGATGCTGTTATTAGTGCCACCGTTCAAGCGACAGTGGAAAAGTTGCTTGCATCCGCCACTTCAGAGTTGAGTCTGCTATGGAATTTCAAGAAAGACTTGAGAAAGTTAGGCAGATCATTGAAAATGATGGATCTTGTCTTACAAGATGCTGAGAAACGTGAAGTTACCGATGAGGCTGTCAAACTCTGGCTCAAGAACCTTCGAGATGTTACTTACGATGCTGATCATGTCTTGGATGAGATCAATTATGAAAATATGCGTCATATGGTGGAGATCCAAAGGCAGAATAAGATAAGGGGGTGCTTAAACAACTTTTCGTTTACTCCTCCTTTGGCGTTCCGATGGAGAATGGCTCGCAGGATCAAGGACATCAATGACGACTTGAAAATGATCGCAGATGAAGCTAATACCTATGGTTTCCAGAAAGTTGAGAATTATGCTCTCACTGTGCCTCGGGTCAGGGAAACCGATAGCATAACTGTTGATTCAAATGTCGTCGGAAGACAAGATGATGAAGCAGGAATTTTGAAGCTGATAATCAACACGGACGACTTAGTTATTTCAGTCCTTCCCATAGTTGGAATGGGAGGGCTTGGCAAGACAACCTTAGCTCGGTCAGTCTTCAACCATCAGCACACGGAGAGTCATTTCGCTATTAGGATTTGGGTATGCGTTTCTGAAAATTTCGATGTGATGACGCTTTTTAAAAGGATTCTAGAGTCCTTAGGAGGAAATTTTCAAGGAGCCAGCAGGCAAGTTATTGTGGATAAGCTTCGAGAGAAATTGAAAGACAAAAGATACTTGCTCATTCTTGATGATCTGTGGAATGAAAATATAGAAGTTTGGGAGGATTTCAAAAATACTATGGCTGGAGTTAACACCAACAGAGGAAATGTCATCATGGTGACTACACGTCAGAAACGTGTGGCATCAATTGTGAACACTTACAGAGATCCATACGATTTGAAATTATTAAAGGATGATGAATGCTGGTCTATAATCAAAGCAAGGACCTTTCGAGATGAAGAAGTACCAGAACAATTTGAGAAAGTTGGAAAGAAACTTGCATGCAAATGTGGAGGTCTACCATTAGCAGCAAACATGGTCGGTGGAACTTTGCAAGGAAATGGAGTAGATGACTGGGTTTCAGTTCTAGAGATCGGGCTTTCAAATCTTGAAGCAAATGAAAATTATGCTATTCAAGTCCTCAAAGTAAGCTTTGATCGTTTATCTTCTCCATTACTTAAAAAATGTTTTGCCTATTGTTCAATGTTTGTCAAGGATTCAATAATACGGAGAGATGAGTTGATCCAACTCTGGATGGCGGAAGGATTTCTTCCCGATAATCGAGAAAATAATATGGAGACTATAGGCAATACGTGTTTTAACATTCTATTGCAAAATTCCTTCTTCCAAGAGGCCGAAAAGGATGAGTTTGGAAATATCGAATACTGCAAGATGCATGATCTTGTGCAAGATCTTGCATGCTCAGTTTCAAATTCAGAAAGCTTTAATGCTGTGGAGCATTCTGCTAATGACATTCCTAAAGTTAGATACCTTGCAATGGAAATGCATGAAAAGGAAAGACAAATGTTTACAAAAGAGAAAGCAAGTTATCTGCGCACGTTGTTCTCCGTTAGAATCTCACAGGACAAAATTTTGCCATGGTTCAAGCACCTGCATGTTCTAAAGCTATTGGATGTATATATTGAAGAATTGCCAACCTCAATTTGCAAGTTGATACATTTGAGATATCTTGCGGCTACCCGTCTTCCAACCTTGCCAGATTCTGTTTGCAAGCTCTACAATTTGCAAACATTAAGGCTTCCAGATCTCATTCAACGGCTTCCAGAAAAGCTATGCGACTTGAGTAATTTGAGACATCTCTACCTTCCTCCTAGGAATGATCGTTTCCCGATGCCGCCTAAACTCGGAAAGTTGTCTCATCTTCAAACATTACAGTTTTTCAGAGTGGGTGACAAGGAAGGTTGCCGAATAGAAGAGCTAGGATTTTTGAAGAATCTTACGGGCAAACTGAATATATTTAATCTTGAGCTAGTGAATGGCGTAGAAGAAGCTAAGAAGGCAGATTTGGTTGGAAAGCTAAAGATATATAAATTATGTCTAAAGTGGACAGAGTACGATGATATGGATGTCTCGGAAGGCAACATTAACGATAAAAGTGTCCTTGAAGGCCTCCAACCTCACCCGAATTTGAAGAGCATAACAATTGATGGGTTCAGAGGTACAAACTTCCCATCATGGACTATGAGAATGGAAGTATTCCTTGATGGCAGTGGTTGGTTGAAATTTGATAAATTGATCGATGTCTCCTTCTATAATTGCAAGAATTGTGAAGAAATTCCCATGTTTGGTCACCTGCCACTCCTCAAATATCTTACCTTAGCCCATTTGACTAACGTAAGATCCATAGGTCCTTCATTCTACGGTGGCCAAGAGACAAGAGTAATGTTCCCAGCACTTGAAAGACTCATTCTAGAAGACATGCCAAATCTAACAGAGTGGGTGGAAGCAGAATTGATGACAGTGGCAGAAACACGAGCGTGCAGAGAGCAGGTATTTCCTTGCCTTGAAGATTTGGTGATTCGAAATTGCCCCAAATTGAATACTTCTCCGAGTCATTTCCCTTGCTTGAAAAACTTGGTGATTGATACTATCGATAGTGATTCTCTGTTGACAAAGATTTTGGGTAGCAGCAACCTAACGTCTTTGGAAAAGCTCATGATCAGCAATATATCAACACTCACTTGTCTTTCCCACATGAAAGGCTGCCGAAAATATCTTCGAGAGTTGAATATTCAAAATTGTGACAAATTGAGTGAATTAACTGATGATATACACAGCTTCCAGTCTCTTAAATCTTTGACAATAACTGGATGTCGAAGTCTGAAATCAATTTCAAATCAAAGTGGACGAGAAGGTCCCCTCTCTCTTGTAAAGTTGGAAATTGCTAACTGCTTAGAGCTGAGATGCCTACCAAGTGAAATGATTGAGTCCTTCAGGTGTCTGGAGTATCTACGCGTGGCTCGATGTTTAGAACTTATTTCTTGTGCGATAGATTTGGAGAAATTGCCTTGTATCTCAGAGTTGCACATATACAATTGTCCTGAATTGAGGAGTTTGCCCAAGAGAATTGGACATCTTAGCAGCTTAAGAGAATTGTGGATTGGCGGATTCTCAGATTCACTTGATTACAGTTCATTCCAAGCTACTCTCGATGGCATACAACAGTTACAACATATCCAGAAATTATGTTTATATGGTTTGCCACATTGGGACTCATTGCCATATTTACTTCAGCATCTCACTTCGCTCCGATATTTAATATTAAAAAGATTTGGAATTGAAGCACTGCCAGAATGGTTTGGGGGTCTGTCATCCCTGGAAGAAATACATTTGTATGAGCTAGAAAAGCTTAGAAATATGCCCTCTAAGGAAGCAATGCAACGCCTCACCAAGCTAAAATCTTTATATATTTCACAGTGCCCATTGTTTGATAAGTTTATGGAAGAAAGAGGCCCTGATTCTGAAAGGTCAAAGATTTCACATATTCTGATCATGTTTCGAGACCAATTTGATCCAAATTGGCTTATATAGTTGGTAAGTATTTCAGCTCAACCATTTCAGGTTTTCATTATTTCTTTTTCTTATATATTTTAATAATTTACTGTATGTTGTAAATATAAATTAAATATGCCTAAACAATGTCAATAATTGGTAAATTGTCTTATGTATTTTCACCCAACAAATCGCAATACATCAATCGCTATTTCTATTTGCAAGTACTTGTTATTACAGTTATTTTCCTTTGGTAAATTGAAAATCAAATCGAGGAACCCCATGGATTTGTTAGTATTTTATATTTTCACTATGCTCTAATTATTATTAAAATTTAAATTTGACAAGGTTCTCTATTAGCCGGTCAATATTTATGCTTAACCTATCATCTATATTAAAGTACATTTTGCCCCTATTTAATGCCCATTAAAAAGAGTTTCTTTTTTTTTTTTTTTTTTTTTTTTTGGGAAAAGTAAATTTTGGAATAGTGATTTTTAGATAATATTTAGTTAAAAAGTAAGGAAAATTTTTGTATTTACATGTGAAATATTTTATTGTGAGAATTTGTGTTTGAAAATAAGTTTTAGCAAGGAAAAAAGGAGTTCTTAAATAATGGTAGACAAATAAGGGCTATTATTTTCCAGATTTCATTAAGATATCTATATGTAAAATTAATTAATTTTTCCTTTCATTGTAGTCAATGGGATGTGAATATTGATTACTTAATTGTTCGAGGTGAAAGATGCAATTTGAATTTTTGATGGAATTTGAGCAAAAATAAACTTCTTCAACATCAGATTTTTGATGGAATTTTTGAATGTTGCTACTAACCTTTTGTAGCGTTTTTGAATGATGGTAATAATTTTTTTACGACTTTTTTTTGAATGTTGGTAATAACCTTTTTCGTAACTTTTTTTGTGTGATGCTAATAATCTTTGCGCAACATTTTTTTGAATGTTGCCTATGCTTATATTCTTATTTTTTGCAGCATTTTTTGATTATTATCGTAGGTCATTTTATGTTTTTTTAATTAATTCTATATTTTTTTTCTATATTCATAGCTATTTATGCAAATTGGCCTTGCAAAATTAAATATTTATTCCTTTCCAAGAACTTTTGGATTACAAAAAATAATAATTTCATTACAAATTCGAATCCATACACTGAATCATAAAAGAAACTGTTGAAATAAGAGCAAACTTTTATACATTTTTTTATGGGAAAATTGCAGCCGAGGTACCAAACATTTCGTTTATTAGCAGACTTTGCCCAAACCTTTAGTTTGTGCCACCGGAGATACCAAACATTTAAAAAATGTGTGGGGCCAGTCCAAAATGACGGTTTCCGTTTGTTTGACCGCCAAAACCATCAGTTGACCCCTTTAATGATAATTTCAAGAATTTTCCCCAAATAAGTGAAGGGCAACATGGTCATTACACACATTTCCCTCCTCAACATCAAACTTCACTGTTTATTTCCCTCCATTTCTTTATCACTATTTATTACCTACCTTCTCTCTCACATGTAGTAAAAAGAGTCAGCAAGAAGATGGAGGGGAATGTATGCAGATGTGGTTCCCCAGTGCAGATGAAGACCTTGTGGACGAACTTGAACTCGGAAGGAAGATTTCTCACTTGTCCTCGAAGCCAAGATGTGGGTGGATGCACCTTCTTTATGTGGTCTGACCCTCCGATGTGTGAGAGATCGAAGGAACTGATTCCTGGTCTATTACGAGCTAGGAGGGAAATGGAAGCTGAAATCGACACCCTTCAAGCAACAAGACCAAATGTGTGGAAGATCTGGTTCTTCGGCTTTATGTGTGGAGTGTTTGCAAAATGGGTTGGTTCCTAGGTATGTAGGGTCAGATTGTAGGATTTTAGTTTTTGTTCCAGAAATTTGAGCTTAGGGTTTCGAAATGGAGCCATGTGCTAGATGTTGTAAAATGCATATGTAAAAAAGGAAAATTTGTGTTGTACATTTTGACTTGAAATTTAACGATATTTTCCTGGCCTCTATGTCAAATGTGAAATTAAAAGAGCAGATTATACTTGAAACTTATTTGAAGAAGGTACACCATAGGTACCAAACCTTATAACGATTCGCAGAATCAATACTAAACCTTTTCTAATGATTTCAGACAGAGTACCAAATCTTTAAAAACATTGCAGTAAAGGTACCAAACGTTTGATAATACGTTCATAGGAAGTATCAAACATTCTCATATATTTCATAATCGCCTGCACATCAGATCTTACGAATACAATTTCAGAAACCAACAACGAAAAGCAGAAACATAATGCAAGATATTCGACATCAACATTATCAACACATTGAATAATTTCATCAAAAATTCCAGTTACATCTACAAAATAAACAGCATTGGAAACACATATTTCCAGTTCAGTTTACAAAAAATCACAGTATTTCCCCAAAAAGGTAACTATACAAGAGAAACCGCATGATGTTCAAGATTGCGATCCTCTATACTTGGACTTCTTTGTCTGTGACTTGGAGGTTTGTGTTGAATGTGCTTTTCTCTTCCCCTTTATTGATCTGGTATGTGTATCTTCTTGTGTGGTTGGTTGAGACTGTTACTGTGAACTATCTTCACCAGGCAGTGCCTCCTTACAGCTTCTTTTGTTATGTCCAGACCCTCCACAGCGCTTACACGTCATCTTCATGCCAGTCCTTCCCATCTTCACGCCTGTAGGTGGCTCTGCCTGTGACCTCTTCCTCAATTTTTTGGGTCTGCCAGCCTGTTTTCTCTTCTGAGGTTGAGTGAGAGGATGCTTTCCCAATTCTGGCCACAGTTCAGGCCCTGACATCGGGTGGATCACTGGGAAGTAACATTTCAGGTATGTCTCCTTGCTATACCATAGGTCGATGTATTCATATATGCCAATATCCCTTGAAAGCATGCTTGATATTGCATGGGGACATGGTATTCCAGTGAGCTACCATTTTCTGCAAGCACATGCATGTTCTGTCAAGTCAACGCTCCACCTCAAATCGTCTCTACTGCTTATCTCAAATTTCTGGTTGCCTGCATAGTCTGCCTTCAAGTACCTTGCCTCAGACTTAGCCTTCTCAATGATTATCACAATTCTTGGCCCGAATGCATGATCCTACCTCTCTGCCGCTTCCCTTTTTGCATTCATCCTTATCATTTGCTGATGCCGAATTTTCTCTAGCATGGAGATGATGGGCCTGTCTCTGGCAACAACAATGGAAGAGTTGAATGCCTCACACAAATTATTAAGAAGAATATCACATCTTGAATGCTCTTCAAAATGGGATCTGGTCCACTGGGAAGGAGGTTTTTCAAGGAACCAGTTGTAAGCCTCTTCACTTATGTCTTTTAACTCATTCATTGCACTCTTCCACTCGGGCACTGTTGTTGCCCTTGCTGCAGTCCAAAATAGGTTCTTAAGTGCCAGACCTTTGTGTGCTAAGGTGAAATTGCTATAAAGATGTCTAGCACAACACCTATGCTCCGCTCCTTCACAGTATTGACTTATTGAATCCACCAAACCCTTTTGTTTGTCGGAAATGAATGTCCAAGCTCGAGGGTTGTGCATCCCTATGTCACCAACCAACAATTCTATGAACCATTGCCAGTTTGTTTTGTTCTCTGCATCCACAACTGCCCATGCTAATGAGAACATACAATTCTCACCATCAATGCCAACAGCTGCCAACAACTGTCCACCATCTGCAGATTTTAGGAAGCATCCATCCAACCAAACAACTGGCCTGCACCCAGCCTTAAACCCTTCCTTACAAGCCCCTATGCAGATGTACAATCTCTTAAAAGTATGTCCCGAACCTTCGATTTGGACTATACTACCTGGATTTGTTTTCTTCAATTCCTCACCGTAATCCCATAAAATTTTGTGCTGCTCAGCTACAATCCCATTAATAATTTCTGCACATTTCGATCTTGTCCTGTAGAACTGATGCTTTGAAATCTCATACATGCAGTCCTCTTTCACAGTCTCCATAAAACTACTCATTGGAATGTTTGAATCAGACCTAAATTTTCTCACGTACTTCTTTACCAGAAAACCTGAATTAACCCTTCTATTTTGCAACACCATGGTACATGTGTGCTCATCTATAAATGTGTTAATTCTAAGACTTTTGTCGGGTTGTTGGTACGCATACAAAACCCAAGGACAATTATCTTGACACCGAACTCTCAACTGTGTCCTCATATTTTTCACGTATCTCAGTTGCCTGGAATTTTTGACTGAGTATTGAACTACTGCATTCCTTAGAATCTTGACGTTGTCGAATTTCATCCCTGACAGAAATGAATTAAACCAGAATTCATTATCATCCAAATGAATTAAACCAGAACTGAATTACACAGAACAGTGGACATTACCTAGCTTGAACTGTGGATCTTCCATATCAGTTGCAGGGTTAAACCACCACACATTCTTCCTTCTGGCAGATGATCCCTCAGCCTCGATATCGCTGGGTAAGCTTCTAAGCTCACTGGAGTCTTCGTATTCTATTCCAGATTCTTCCCCAGCAGCTGCCTCCCCTTCTTGCACATCCCTTACACTTTCCTGCTCACCACTTGCACCAATGTCAAAACCTTCACTTAACCTGAAATATGTGTTTTCATCATTATCCTCCACAGCAACATTTTCTTCCTGCTCGTACTCCGACTCAGTGAATTCCTCTCCCAAAATACCCTCCTCATATTCATCATCCAGCTCAGGACCTTCACCAAACTCCACATCAGTTTCAGCAGCCTGCACCTCTGGTTCGGCATCATGCAACTCATGTTCAACAGCTTGCACCTCTTGTTCAGCAGCATGCAGCTCCTGCTGAGCCTGCTGCTGTGGTCCAGAAGCATACACATCAATTTCAGTAGGCTACACCTCTGCTTCGACATCCTGTTCAGCAGCCTGCACCTCTTGTTCAGCAGCATGCAGCTCCTGCTGAGCCTGCTGCTGTGGTTCAGCGTCATGCAGCTCATGTTCAGACCTCAACTGTGGTTCAACATCATGTGGTTTCTCCGGTTCAGCAGCATGCACTTCTGATTCATGTGAGTCTACTTCAGCCCCTATAAAATCAACCTCTGTATACTCATGCTCTGTTCCATGCACTGTATAAACTTCCTCTTCATCTGCTTCCATGTCATCCACTTCATCAACTACATACACGTCATCACCTTCTACTGATTCATCAAAAATCTCAATTACATAACATGGTTGCTGCTCATTCAATGCTTCACCAGACTTTTGAACCTTCACCAACTCCTCACCAGTCTCACAATCAAACACTCGAACATCCTTTTGTTCTATTTCATACCAAGGCAACTCCAAAACCTCAACTACAGGCAAGCAATACAGTTCAGCTGTCCTATTATCACCAAGCCACTTCACTAAATTTATGAAATCTGAGTCTTTAACCAACCAAAATGAACCTTCACTCATTCTTTTCTTCTCCATCTTGTACAGATATCTAATTCTATCAGAATATCCTAACATCTTCACGGCATTGTCCAAAAGAAATCTATTGAAGAAATCAGGGTCGATATAGTCTATATAACTTATTTTCCCATGCTCATACACAAAATTTCTCATCTTCTGCAATAAAATTCCACCATGATGAAGCCGTATGCTGAAGTACTTTGAATTTTCCCCTGAAAAAATTTAGTGAAGTGGCTAATATGCAGTTCAAGCAACGATCATGTGCAGAAAAGATACTACACAAGCATTACGCTCTAATACACCAAATCACTTGCAATTTTTGAATTCCCCAGTACGTGAACACAATCGAACAGGGGAACTTCATAATCATACAACTTCACACCGTAAACCGAAAACAAGGGAAGACACTTACCATACACGGGTTGGGGAAGAGAGCCTCGAATGTGGGCTACAATTTCCACTGGATGTTCGTCTTCTTCGAAGTCCGTTTCGTCTTCTTTGTGGGTTTTTGCAGGTTCCATAGTGGATGGTGAGTAGAAGGAAGTTGCAACGGACGTGTTTGATGTTGAGGAGGGAAATGTGTGTAATGACCATGTTGCCCTTCACTTATTTGGGGAAAATTCTTGAAATTATCATTAAAGGGGTCAATTGACGATTTTGGCGGTCAAACAGACGGAAACCGTCATTTTGGACTGGCCCCACACATTTTTTAAAGGTTTGGTATCTCCGGTGGCACAAACTAAAGGTTTGGACAAAGTCTGCTAATAAACGAAAGATTTGATACCTTGGCAGCAATTTTCCCTTTTTTATCTAACGAAAAAATTAAGAACCCCGATCCTGAATCCCTATTCTGAGTTCAAATGCTTCGATTTCAATGTCAAACCATCTTCCATATCGACTACTCATGTCCTTATCTACAAGTTCATCAATCATATAATCTCACATTAAACTCCAACCAAGAATCTCATTGTACGCTTCATGAGCTAACATGTCGTTTCTTCTAATCAAGGAAACACCCTTCGCCTATATTTTGCGTCCCCCTCCAGCATATCCTCTGCATTTTGACTCCAAGAATTCACTAGAACCAAAAAAAAAAAAAAAAAAAAAAAAAAAAAAAAAAAAAAAAAAAAAAAAAAAACAATGAGCTAGCCTCCGACTAATTCAAGGCACAAGATCTTATTTAGTTATCTTGAAGGGACCCATGTAAAGCAAAGATTGTGCAACATTTGGTTCAGTCCTAGGATTTCCCAAGTTTTCTTAACGAGTTCCATAAGCTCATGAACTTCATCTATAATTGACGTTTCATCATTAATATCGAAGCATGTTTCTATAAGCACTTCATAGAGTTGGAGATTCAATGGTATACCATCTGCCCAATGGCAGGACACCACTAGAGATTCATCAGATGATCTGCTAGCAAGTGCCGTTACTGTAGTCCAAAGGACTTGCATCGACTCGTTGTTTGTCCTGGTTTCCATTGGCCTCTCTGAGGTTGATTGAATAATTTTGACTACAGTAATGGCATTGAGCAACAGTATCGACCTTATCCGGTATTCAACACTATCATCTAATTAATCAAGCTTGCAAACTTAACTGGTATCATTGTCTACCATAGGTTAAGAAAAAGGAAGATTATAAACATTAATCCTTGAAGAAAATTTTATTTGCTAATTGTTTACAATATCTTCGACAAGAAAGACTTACCACTCGAATCAATGCCCACACACTTGTAAGAGACTTTACCTCGTCCATGGACTTGATCTTGTTTTTCCTAGCATCTGATACTTGTATAGCAAACAACAAAAGACTTGAATCCCATTTCAATGAGGGTATATGACATGTCAGTAACTTTGAATTTATGAAACTTGTACATATAACAATGCAAAGAAAGTAACTGTTCATCATGAATAAAAATCAGTAGAAGAAAATAAAGATAATTCAACATTTTTTGTCCTCATTTTACATTATCATCAAGCAAAGTATATAAAACCAATTATACTAGAGGTGGCTTAATTTTGGGTAGAAGAATGTTGACTAACATCTAGCTAGATGAGTTAAACATCAGGATCTAGATCACTCAATCTTCTGAGTAAATTTTCCTTAAATTTCTTAGAAAGCCCTTAGAAACTCTGTTTGATTTAAGAAAATCCTCATACTTCAAAGCTTTCAATTCCTATGAACAACAGCAGGTTTTCATTAACTTTCACAGTAAATAAAATTGGACACTAGATGAAGGATAACAATCAACTCAATTTCTCAATTCAAATATGATGATTCTGTTCAACAATGGATCGTATATATTAATGGCTAGAAATGAAATTTAACTTTAATACCATGTATGTGATGATAAAAGGCAGCATCAAATTCTAAATATTGTCGTCTAATTCACGTACTTGCATTTGATAAATGCTAGCATTTACAGTGACTGGAAGGCTCTGAAATCCAAGTCCTCCAACCAATAGCTTCATTACTGATGAAATCCTAATCCTATTTATACTCTGAATAGAATTCAAATTCCAGCAATTAAATAAAGGTCTTGAAAGCTTCAAATTTGAAAAACTCAACAAGGAAAAAAATATGTAAAATATGGTTGTGTGGTGATTTGTGCTACTTTCAGTTAGTTTATTGAGGCCCTCAATCCGTTTCAAGCTCTCGATCTTGTTATGCAAATCAGATAACCACTTCAAATTCACATAAGACTTCAAACCTTGAATTAAAAAAATGTACAAATTAATAAAAGAAATCTCGGACCCCCCC